AGGAAAGACAATTGGTGTTGTTGTTATTGTTATGTGCCATTAAATCACTTGCGACTCATAGTGACCCTATATACAAGAGCCCTAAACGCTGTTCTATCCTGTGCCAACCTCGCCGTCTCAAACACACTCATTCCCATCACTCCACTCACAGAATCAATCCATCTCATTGAGGGTCTTCCTCTCCTTCACCGCCCCTCCACTCTCCCAAACATGATGTCCCTCTCCAAGAACCAGTCCCTCCTTGCAACATGCCCAAAGTATGTCAGACGAAGCTTCAGAATCCTTGACTGCAAGGAACATTCTGGCTTCACCCTCTCCAGGGCAAACCTGTTTGTTCTCCTAGCAGTCCATGGTATATTCAACACTCTTCCCCAGCACCACAGCTCAAAGGCATCAATTCTCTTGCTATAATCCTTATTCACTGTCCAACTCTCTGATGCATAGCATGTAATTGCAAAGACTATAGCTTGGATCAGGTGCACCTTAGTCTCCAGCCTGACGTCATTGCTCTTCAGTACTCTTGAGAGGTCCCTCACAGCTGACTTTCCCAATGCAACTCATCTCCTGATTTCATGGCTGCTGTTACCGAGAGTGTTGACTGTGGAACCAAGTAAACTAAAACTGTTAACTATCTCAATCTCTTTATCATTCATACTGATGTTGCCAATTGGTCCAGTGGTGAGAATCTTTGTTTTATTGATGTTGAGTTTCAAGCCATATTGAAGACTGCAGTCCTTGACCTTCTGCAGCAAGCGCTTCAGGTCCTCCTCAGTTTCAGCAAGCAGGGTTGTGTCAGTTGGTCTCCTAAAAATTGGAAATAAACTACCATTTGAGGAAAGATTTTAAAAAATGCCTTGCAAAACTCAGTCTGAGATCTTCTCTTAGGAACTTCTAAGAATAAGACAACTGATTATTTTAAGTGCAAAATAAATGACGGGTCAGGAAAAGAACTTTTGTCTATTTTGACAGAACAGCACATATATTTCAATCTTTCTTTTCATGTTATTTTGCCTCCAAACCACATTTATTGTTGCTTGGTGCTGTCAACCCATAGCAACCTTATAAGCAACAGATCTGAACTCTGTCCTATCCTGTGCCATCCCCACTTCCTGACACATTAGAGCCTATTGCAGCAGTCATAGTGTCAATCCACCTGGCTGAGGGTCTTCCTCTTCTTCCCCGACCCTCTATCTTTCTGAGAATCATGTCCCTTTTCAAGGAATAGCCCCTCCTAACACCATGCTCGAAGTATGTGAGGCAAAACCTCATCATTTTTGCCTCCAAGGAGCACTCTGGCTGCACCCTTTCTAAGACATTTGTTTGTTCTTATGTCCATCCATGGGATATTCAGTAGTCTTCTCCAACAGGTCAAAGGCATCAATTCTTCTTCTATCATCCTTACTCTTTATCCAGCTCTCTCAGATGCATATCAAGTGATCAGAAAGGCAATGGCCTAAATCAGATGCACCTTAGTCTTCAAACTGACATCATTAATTCTCAATAATGTGGAGTTGTTCCTAACTGCATACTTTCCAAGTACAATACATCTCCTGATTTCCTGACTTCTGCAAGCAAGAGTGTTAATTGTGGATCCAAGTAAGATGAAGTTGTTGACAGTTTCAATCTTTTCCCATCCATCATAGTGTTTCCTATTACTCCAATGGTAGGAATCTTTGTTTTCTTGACATTGAGATGCAATCCATATTGACAGCTGTATTCTTTGACCTTCTGTGCTTTAATTGCTCCTCACTTTTAGCAAGCAAGGTTGTGTCATCTGCATAATGCACGTTTTTGATGTGTCTCCCTCCGATCCTGATGCCACATTCCTCTTCATAGATTCCAGCTTCCTGAATATTTGCTCAGCATACAGATTGAATAGATATAGAGAGAGGTTATAACCCTGTCACACTCCCTTCTTAATTTTAAAACATATAGTGTTCCCTTGCTCTGTTCACACAGCAGCCTCTTAGTCTAGGTATAAGTTTCTCATGAGCACAATTAACTACTCTGGGATTCCCATTCTTTTCAATGTTAGCCATAATCTATTATGATCCACATAGTCAAATGCCTTTGCATAGTCAAGAAAGCATAAATATACATTCTTCTGGTATTCTTTACTGTCAGCCAGGATCCATCTGACATCACCAATGATACCTCTAGTGCCACAATCTCTTCTAAATTCTCCTTGAGCTTCTGGAAGTCCCCTATCTATGTATTGTTCTAGCCATTTTTAAATAATCTTCAGCAGTATTTTGCTTGCATGTGATATTAACAATATTGTTCAATAGTTTCCACATCTTTGGAACAAATATGCACCTCTTCCAATCTGTTGGCCAAACAGCTGTCCTCCAAATTTCTTGACATTGATTGGTGAGTGCATCCAGGGTTGCATATGCTAATTGAAAAAAGTCAGTTGGTATCCCACTGATTCCTGTGGCCCAATTGTTTGCCAATGTCTTCAGTGTAGCTTCCACTTCTTACTTCATTACCATTGGCTCCTGCTCATATGGTACTTTCTGAAATTTTTCATTGTCCATCAGTTCTTTTTGGTACAATGATTCTGTGTATTCTCTCCATCTTCTTTTGATGCTTTCTGGGTTATTCAATAAAATGCCCAAAGCATCAGTTAATATTGTGACTTGTGGCTTAAATTTGTTTTTCAGTTCTCTCAGCTTGAGAAATGTAGAGTGAATTTTTTCCTTTTTTATTCTCTACTTTCAGTTTTCTGCACATTCCATTATAATACTTTGCTTTGTCTTCTTGAGCTGCCTTTTGAAATCTTCTGTCTAGCTCTTTCACTTGGGCATGTTTTCCTTTTGTTTTGGCTTTTCAATGCTCTACTGCAATTTTTAGAGTCCCTTCTGACATCCATTTTGGTTTTTATATTCTCCTCTGTCTTTGCTTTATTCATGGATGATATTCTTGATATCACCCCACAACTCATCTGGTCTTTAATCATTGGTGTTCAATTTTTCAAACCTATTCTTAAGAGTATTTTGAAATTCAGATGCAACAGATTCAAGATCATACCAGCTTGTTGTTGTTGTATACAGCTGAGTCTGAAAACAACTTTGTCTATAACTCTACTACACAGTTAACAAAATATAAATTAAGTAAAAGATGTCTACAGTCATGTGGAAAAAGTAAAAATGTATCAAATGTAATGAATTCATATAAGTAATATTAAATACTGTATTTAAGACAAACGTGGTAATATATCTGTAATGACGTGATGATCCATAATAAAATGTTTTTTTCATAATAAAATATTTTTACTAAAAATTCCTTCTTTCCCACGCCACACACACAAAATGGCAAATGATTTAAAGAAGCTTGCAAAACTTGTTATGTTAGAAGAATTTGACAGTTATAAAAGAATTGAGGGATACCAAGGAATATTAGTAATACAATAAATCTTACTCATTACTCTCTCAGAATTTTCCTGTGGGTTGACAAAGTAAGAAAGAAAAATTATTCTAGCCTAAAATCTGTTATAAGGTGTTTATTTTCTAGTAAGCCTGGATGCTTCTTAAGATCAGCGGCATTTTAGAATAGCAGAGAGCCAACCTTCAAGTGTGACGGTAGTTACTACTGCGCATGTGTGGACTTCAAAGGTGCCAGCATCAAAACTTACAGAATGGATGTCAGTGGCTTGGAAGAAAATCTTGCAGACAAGAAATCTTTCCCCTCTCTTCTTCCCTAAATTCCGGGAACCAAATGGTTGTGAGGAGGAACGAATTAGACATGTTTAGCAACATTCCTTAAACAGGAGTCAAAAGTAAGCCAGCTCTATGTCATTGCGAATCTGCATTAGGAGCCCACCACCACTAGCTCTTAGTTCTTTTATAGAGTCTTTTAAGAAATGCTACATTAAAAAAAAAAAGAAAAGAAAGAAATGCTACATCATCAAACTCTCACTACAGGGGATGGTACCATAAGGTAAACATAGACATCAAAGGGTCTGTGTTGAATGCTGAATATAAGAACAGTTTTAGGAACATGTAAACCTTTTTCTTTAACCCAGTGTTTTATTTTTTGCATATTCAGGTAGACTGTTGTTGCTGTTGTTAAGTGTCATCAAGTCGTAGATGATTCATAGCGACCCTATGAATGAAAGATCTGAACACATGTATAACTTTGGTCGTTTCTCCAAGTTCATAGAGTTTCCAGAGGCAAACCATTTCAGAAGTGGATGCCAATCCTGCTTCCAAGCTTGTTTAAATTGGGAATCTTCACCAAACACTGTCCACCATGGGTGACCATTAAAACATTTAACAAATCAGTGTCACAGTGTTTAGCATCACAGCAACCACTAGTTACCTCTGTACAGCTGTGCCACTTAGAAGAATGTTTGACAAAAACAATTTAAACCAGGCCTGAGGCCAAGTAGACTATATGATTAAAACCCCACCTTTGTCGAATTAAATTTATACCAACTATTTCGGTAAGTATAAGATAAACATTCTGATCATACTTTAATATGCTTAGGTTGGGGGAGTTTGTGTGATTAGGGTTTTTTTGGGGGTGGGGTTTTGCTTTGATTTTTAAATGATACATAAACTCATGGCACGGCTGCACTGCCATCCTGAAGGCACAGTTTGAATTCACCAGAAGCTCAGTCTCCTCTTGTGCGATTCACTGCCTCGGAAAACCTGCTAGAGAGTCAGCTATGAGTCCGTTCCGACTAGACAGCACACCACCGCAACAATAACAATTTACAATTGAAAGCAGGAAGGTAACAGATTTGAGATTTCTCCCCTCATAAAATAGAGAGCCAATGAATTTGTAGATGCTAAAAGGTTTGCCATCTAATCTGTGTTCCGTTTTAACAGAAAAATCTACAGGCTGCTCCTAATTTTGTTTCACACAGGGGGTTTCCCTCCACCCCACCCCCACCCCAAGACCTTAAATAGCATGTGGCGCTGTTTAACTGTCTCCGTGGTTACTTTCGCGTGTATGTTCCCTGAAAACAATGGGTTGACTCTTGTTTCTTTTGTTAGGGGAGCAGGCTGCATCTTTATTGAAATGTTCCAGGGTCAACCTTTGTTTCCCGGGGTTTCCAATATCCTTGAACAACTGGAGAAGATCTGGGAGGTAAGAGAAGAATTCTTTCTAAGGTTTAAGAATATTATCTGTAGTTTAAACGTGAAGCCAAATTTGCCTTAGAAGCCAACGAAGCAGTCCATCTGAGACACTGTGCCGTCTGATAATGTTGATGTTTTCCACAAGTGTAAGTAAGCACTTTGGGGAAGAGTGGTCAGGAAATTCCTTACTCACCTGCAACTCACCTCAGTGAGGGCATTCAAGGGCGCTTTGGTGGCATAGTCTGTAAAGAGTCGTACTGCTAACCTAAAGGTCAGCCCTCTTTGGGGGTTGAATCAATCCACCAGTGCAGAAAGGTGGACAATCTCCTCCCTAGCAATTTAGGGCCTCAGAAACCAATTAGAGGTCCAGTGAGGAGTCAGTTCAAACTCCACAGCAATAAGTTTGAGGGTTTTTTGAGATGCTATTCAAGTCTCCTGCTCCCTCGTGGCATCATTGTCTTGACTTGCCGGAACAATCACTACCATTGCTACTTAGGCACCTCTTTCCACTCGAGATGCATGAGGTTGTCATGCATTGGAATCAACTCAATGTATAACTGTTTGATTGGGGGGGGGTATTCCTATCAGCATATTCTTTTCTTCTATTCATAATTTTAAAGGTTGTATATAACCTATTTTTTATATTACTTACCATTTTAAATGACTGTGCCTTTAAAAGGAATAATTTACAATTCTTTGCATAGCTCTTAGAAATCTTAGAACAGAAAGAACAGGTTAGATATTTCCCAGGACCTGATGGGAAAACTCGAGTTTCTAGAACTGGCCTTAGTGACTAATACTGTAATCTGAAGGATATGGTAGGTAATTCACTTGTTGTTGTTAAGTGCCGTCAAGTTGACTATGACTCCTAGAGACTCTATGAGCAACAGATCTGAACTCAGTCCTGTCCTGCACCATCCTTATCATCCTTAGCACATCTGTGTCCATTGCTACAGACTCTATTAATCCAACTCATTAAGGGTCTTCCATTTCTTCATTGACCATCCACATTCCCAAGCATAATGTCTCTTTCCAAGGAATTGTCTCTCCTAAGAACATGTCCAAAATATATATGTGAGATGAAGCTTCACCGTCTTTGCGTCCAAGGAGCATGCTGACTTATACGCATCTGTTTTGGCGTCCATGGGACATTCAGCACTCTTCCCCAACATCACAGCTCAAATGCGTCAATTCTTCTTCTGTCATCTTTATTCATTGTCCAGCTCTCTAAAGCATAGCAGGTGATTGGAAAGAATGGGGCTTGAATCAGGATCGGTAAATTTGGACTTGAATCTGAACATGAAGTATCCAAAAGATGAGCAATGCAGCAAAAGTAAACATGTCTTAACAGATTAATCCAAGAGGTACTGTCTAGAAGCCCAGCAGGAAGCCATATTCATTCCCACCATTTTATTTGTCACATTGAGTAAATCAAAGGGCCTTTAGTTTGACATTTATGTCAGCTCATAATAAATTAAAAACAAATATACATATTGTGAATAACATTGGCCTGGAGTCAGAAGACATGCATTCCAAATTTAGCTCTAACTTTGTATGAAACTCTCTAAGTTGGGATATGAACTAGAGCAAACCATGTAATCAGTCTGCTTTGGCATCAGGATCTTAAATTGTATTTTTGAAGTGTGACTTCTTTTAACAAAGTTTAAAGGAATTAACATCTATTTGTAGTCAATATTCTCTGTAATCAGTATGTTCTCTGTTATTGAGAAACAAGTTCTTTAAGTTTATAAATTTGTATCACTCATTTCAACATTTCTTTCAAGGAGTTAGCTAGCTTCATATGTCTTACCTATAGTTTATGGTCAGTGTTGTTGTTATTAGATGCCATCAAGTCAACTATGACCCACAGTGATCCTATGAACTGTACCCTGCCTTGTCCTGTGCCATCCTCATCATCTCTGATATACTTGAGCCCATTGTTACAGTCTCTGTGTTAATCCATCTCGTGGAGTCACTAAATTTCCTTTTTCTCCTAGTCCTGTTCAAGCAGATAGAGACCACAGTTTTGTTATCATATGGGTGGTTCCGAGAACAAAATGGAAAAGTTACCACAGTCAGAGTCTGTATAGTATTTTATGCCACTACATCTCATGAAAGTTAGAAAATTAAACATATTATGAGTAACCCCCTGAATTTGTTTTGCTAAATGTGGTCTACACAGAGAGAAATAGGAGACCTATTCTAGAGTCTAATATTAGGAGTTGCTTTGTTGACAGCAATGGTTCTATTTAAACTCTCTCCACCTATATCCACCATTTTCCTCTACATTTGTTCTAAAATGCCACTCTTAGGAATAAAGGCATAAAAAAATTCTCTGAATTCATCTTCCTCAAGAGTGTGTATGTATGTGTTTGTATATGTTTATTTTCACATCTGAATAACTGTCACCATCTTTTGATAGTTTTCTTGCAAGAAGGAATTTTTAGCCAATAATCCTGGATTTAGTTTTAAAATTGGAATAAAATAAACAATGTAGGCTTTAAATCCATTAATCAAAATGCCTTAAGTTTCCATTCCAAAAAGGCAGATAAACTGCCCCTCCAGTCTACTGTGGTTAAAATATAACATTCACTAGTTGGCTTTTAAGAGTCTTCAGGGAAGGAGTAAATCAACAATTTTTGGATTTTGGTTTCCCAGACAGTGAAGTGAAGAGCTAGTAATTTTCTCAAGTGTAAAAGAATTCAATAACTTCCAAATATAAACTTGAACATCAACTTCCCAAATAAAGTATATTTTGTTTTTGTTTAAACTTAAGTTATCAAATTGGGGGGGGGAAGTATTCATTTTGTTGGCTTTAGTTAAACATAGTACAGAGTAAGCAACAATTCTGGTAACTTTCACCTTAGAGGAAATACGAACATGGTCTTTATTTCCCGTCAGCGTTCTTTTCATGGCCTTTGCTTTCGTTTCACTGAACTTTCCAGCCAACATGAGGCATATGGGCCCACAGGACTAACACCCACTGTTTACACGTGCATCTGTGCAATATGAGATGGTAGTTGAAAAAAAGAAGAATTAGTGCCCCATCCTTAGGCCCTCTCCCACAAAAGAAGAATTAGTCCAGTTGGTTTTTCAAAATGGACTCCAGGATTCTTAGTGTTCCCTCAGGATCAGGGTGGTTAATAAGAAAAGCCTATAATCCTCTCAGGAGCTTTTCAGTTTGTTTAGGGAATGGATCAAAGAAGGAAGATTTTACTGGGTGGCATGATTTTTCTTTTTTTTTTTTTATTATAAGAGAAAAATAGCACTTCAGGGTCTTTTGTGTAAGGACAAGCTTAAGAGGCACCAAAAGGTATTCCTCTCAGCCAGAGTCCTGTCCAACAAGCTGGTAGATATTAAAATTCTGTAGTCCTCATTGATTACATTCAGTCAAAGTTGGGCAATTGATTTCCTGCCAGAACTGTGGGACTGTCATCCATCCATATTCAGGGCTTTACAGGTAGAGCCACTAGACTTTCCATAAGAGATGATTCTAAGAAGAGTTCTATTTTAGTGGTGCAATGAAAACATACATATATTGATATTTTACTAATATAAAGTGAATGCTATGTTGATTCCCATATGTCCCAAAGCTATGGGCTTTATGATTATCCTATAATATACTTAACAGATGGTCAGATGATGCCTGCAGGAGGATTGCTAGTGGTAGCTCCATCTAAAATCTGAACTTTTTTGGCTTTAACTTACAAAGGACTGACTTTAACATAACATCTTCATTTAAAAACTAGGCCTTTAATTTGGTCAATCCTACACCTAGGCCAGGTGTTTTTCAAGTGATGTTGTTATCATTACAATCATCAATCACACCATTCAATGATTAATCTACTCCAATCTAACAATGATGAATCTATATCATTCAATGATTAATTGATTCCAAGCTGCTAAACCACAGAGAAAATTAGCAAATGAAATGAATTTAGTAGAAAGTTTTGGAATAATTTTTAGTCAACATTCTACTGCTTCAAGTTCAGTAATTTTAGCCCTTTTTAATTTGAACACATAAGAGAATGATGTGTTCAAATTCAATGAATGACCATGCTGAGATGTAACATATGCCGTCAAATGTCTCCTGTTAGCACTAGTAAGGTCATCTGTTTTAAGGCAAAAGCATATTCCCTTCACTTTAATACTCCAATTTAACATGGCATTCTGATGCGTCATTATCATACAATAAAGGTTTAATGACAAGGATAAAACTTTAAGAAAGGCTATAAGAGATGCCAATGAAATTCTAGGGGCCAGTCCATAACATATCTGTATCTAACTGCTAATGGAAAGGTTAGCTGTTCAAATCTACCAGGCACTACATTGGAACAAGATGGGCAGTGTCTTCCTATAAAGGTTTACAGCTTCAGAAGCCCATAGAGTTGGAATCCACATCTTCTTCAGCATGATAAGTGAGTTAGTAAAGACAGAGCCTCAGGATCATAGGGATGCAGTACAGTTTTATCTGAAAGCTACCAATGTTGGCAATAGTAAAGTTTCTTTCATAGATGCAGCTGGTGTAAAATGACACACATCTATTCCTTCCCCTTCTTCCTTCTTAATCTGTCCATCATGTATCTGTTTGGTTTTTCTCTCCTCACACTTTCTTTGTCTTCATATAGGTGTTGGGACTCCCTACAGAGGACACTTGGCCTGGAGTCTCCAAGCTACCTAACTACAATCCAGGTAATATGGACACAGCTTCCAAATGCTCTGATAACTGGCAATGTCATGAGAACATACTTCTTGTTTTGCCACCTCAACAGCCAGGACAAGTCTAGAGTCATATATTCCATATGGGTATAAAGAAATACCTTAGGAATAAAGAGAACTGGTAAAGGATTGAGATGAATTACACAAAACTCAAGCTTTTGTGATGAAAGATCTCACCCCATCCATCTATGAAGTCTAGGCATATCACACAGCACCTCACAGAGAGCAGGAACTTGGTAACTTATACAAGTGAGCCCACTGAAACAGCAGTCACAGGTGGATCATCTCCCCAACTCTGAAAAACGCACGTAGTAAACTGAATAAGGATTTGCAATAACTATTACATGGATTCTGTGCCTGTTTCTGAACACAGAATGGCACAAATGAACAACTCAAAATATGATCTTATGCTTGAACCCTTTGATTATCACAGAATTTATTTGCTTGATTATTGTACCTCAAAAGTGTGAAAGAAAGTTAATGTACCAAGAGAGTTAAAGGCTTGTTAGGTCCAGGAGCAGCCAAGTAATCTATCTCTAGGTCATGTTGTTGCTGTTAGATGTTGTCAGGTTGATTGTAACTCATAGTGGCTCTATGTACAATAGAATGTAACTCTACCTGCTCCAGTGTTACCATACAGTCTTTGCTTTGCTTGAGTTCATTGTTGTAGCCACTGTGTCAGTTGATCCTGTTGAAAGTCTTTCTCTTTTTCATTAATCTTCTACTTTATCAAACATGATGGTCTTCTCTAGGGATTGGCCACACGTGCAGGCCCAAAGCGTGTGATACAAAGCCTTGCCATCCTTGTTACACTTTTTCCAAAATTATGCTTACCTAGAAGTCATCCTTGGCACATGTGTGCCAAGGGCAGGGACAACACTGATACAAATGGTTAACTCCACAAGGAGGGCTATATCTTTCACTTTTCTGTAAAGTGCTGGTCTGTCTGATACTTCTCTAAATCTGAACATTCAGATTAAGACAGACTAGGAAGAAGGATTGGCCATCCACTTCTGAAATAGCAGGCCTCCAAAAACCCTATGTACAACAGAACACATGTAGATAACAGAAAGGGCAACTGAGGTTGAGCTTTCAGGTATGGAAATACAAAGGAAGAGGAACAGTTGTAAGCAGACACTAGTGACTGGGACACGATCACTTGTTACACATCAGAGAGTTGGACAATGACTAAGGAGGATAGAAGGAGAATTGATGCCTTTGAGCTTTGGTGCTGGAGAAGAGTATTGAGGGTACCATGGACTGCTAGGAAAACAAACAGATTCATCCTGGAAAAGGTCAAACCGGGTTGCTCCTTGGAGGCACGGATTCTGAGGCTCCGTCTAACATACTTTGGACATGTTGCAAGGGGGGACAGGTCCTTGGAGAGGTACATCATGCTTGGTAGGGTGGAGGGACAGCGCAGAAGGGGAAGGCCCTCTATGAGGTGGATTGACTCAGTGACTGGGGTAATCGGGCTGGGTGTGTCCGAGATGGTGTGATTGGCACAGGACAGAGCAGAGTTTAGGCTGTTGTACATAGGGTCGCTACGAATCACAAGCAACTCGACGGCACATAACAACAGCAACAACAGAAGTCATCCAGTGCCTCTAGGTAGAACACTTGGTAATTTTTCTGTTTCATTTGATTCTCCAAGACTGCCTTCCTGGGGAGAATTATGAAGTGATAGAATTGTTGTCCCTGGGAAAATCTTTGAGAAGGAGTCTTGTGGCCCAGCCAAATGTGTCAGAATACCCAGTGGTCACTTCAAGCTGGTTGAGACAGAAGGGAAGAGAGAAGCAATGAAGGTGAGGGGTTGTACTAGAGGCCAAAGAAGCAAAGGTAATGGAATCCCAAAATTCACCTCTGACAATGAGGGTCAAAGGGAACATAGCTACTACCAGACAAGGGCAAGGTTAGGGTGAATGTATTTCAAGCCACTTCTTCAGCTTTCTAACACACATAAAAGTTGATGACTTTTAGAAAGCATACTTTGCATGATGTCAAAGCAGTTACCGTGGTAAGCATATGTAATTCCTCCCAATCTCAAACATTTGGATTTCAGATTGGTCCATGCAGTAAGCAGTGAACCTTGTGCAGAATGCCTTGGTGAGAATAATAATGACAGAAAATGAGCCAAAATGCTTCTTCCCTGCCGGTTTCTGTACTAAATAAGATAGCTGGGTTCCAATAAAACAGTGAGAAATATGTTGCATTTTTCATTTTGCTGGCATTTCAAAGTAATGCTCCATTTTTTATTTAAGAAGACAATTCTCCAGGCCTAACTTCAATAGGGTACATCTTTTACATTGTTTTTCTTCTAAGGATTCAATTTAATTCAAATCAATCAGAAGTTACCAAGCTCCAACTACCCGTCAGGTGTTGTGTGGTACATATGGACTGCATGGATGGATGAGGTGTGTTCTTTGATCTCCAGAGCTTGAGTTTGTATTCATGCATCCATCTGCAGCCTTTCACCAGCTCTCCTTATTCCTGGCCATTTCTTTTCAAGCCCCTTTTCCACAGGCTGGGGCAGTTTGTGGCTGTGGGCCAGGCTGAGCTTATAGAAGAAGGGCATTTAGAACCTTAGCCACAGACAAGATGCCTGAACTCCATACTAAACCCAAGCTCACTGCCACAGAGTACATTCTGATCCATGGCAACCCTCCATCAGATTTCTGAGGCCATAATCTTCAAAGGAGGAGAGTGCCTATCTTTCTCTGAAGTGACTGGTATGTTCAAATCACAGGTTTGGGTTAGAATTTCAACACAATGTTGTACCACCAAGACTCCTTTTCAAAAACCAAAAACCAAAGAAAAGCACCCCAAAAACCCTACCAAACAACCCAAAACCCAACCCCTCAAAACCCAGACTAACACAATTCATTGTCTTCCATCAAAACGGACTCACAGCTGATCCTCCAGTGGGTTTTCAGAGGCTGTAAATTGACAGGAGATTGATCGCCATTCATTCTCCCATGGAACAGCTGGTATATTTTAACCATGTGCCTTTGGGTTGGCAGAGCAACTCCTTGAATCCTAAAGATCTAGCCTATCTTAAGCACAGGGTCAGTACTACGGATAACTTAGTCATGTGGATAGATACTTTTAAAAGGGCCATTAGCATCTGTTTTCCAAGAAGAGCCATCCCCTTACATGAATCTAGAAATCCTTTTGAACACCTCCTATCTTCATTCAGTCTAAGCTGCTTCTGTTTCTGTGCACTTAACTACAGTTTACTAAAGGGGTAAACCGTAGGGTTTTTAGTGACTGATATATTTCTTTTTTCCAATTTGGATCACTAAGCCTTTCTTCCTAGGCATCTCTGGGTGAATTCAAACTTTCATTGATCAGCTAAGCTGGTTAACTATCTGTACCACCCAGAGAATGGACACAGAAGAGTGAATAGGAGCAAGAGGAATGTCAGAGACAAGAAATGTGCTCCAGATATTATTTTCATCCTTTTCCTTTTCATTCTAAGTAGTAGTAAGAGGCCTTGAACTTTCAGTTTATCCAGTCAATTTGTAGGGAGGCCCATACCTCAGAACTTGGCCAAATCACTGAGTATCCATGCAGGTCCATTCTGCCATTTCCAGATCCTGTCTAGAGTCTCTGAAGGAAGACAGTATAGTTTCTTCCTAGTACAAGGTTAGGAGTAGGGGGAAAATCAGCTGGTGCTAATCCAGCTAGATAGGTTTCTCTCACCATTTACTGTTTTCTTGCTATCAGTTAAGACTCTTGTGCCTGTTAAACATGGGCAAGTAATGAGTGGCATACAATTTTGAAGACTGGTCTTCCTTTCCAATTTCCCCCTCCTTCCTTCTTTCCTTCCTTCCCTCACTCTCCACTCTAAGCAAGCTGACTGAGAACTCTGTGTCCTCCACTTCAAAGGGCCAGTTGTCTTATTTTGATGTGGGCAGATTGAGGAGTAGGCTTTGAAAAGTAGGCTCCTCTTTTTGTGTGTGTGTGTGTTTTTTTGTTTAATCTTTTCTCCTGGGATAGCTTTCAGAGCAATATATCTGAGTGTCAGTGAGGGGCTTCTGACGAGCACAGATTCCCAGACTCTCAGCAGGATCATTCTCTAACAGAAATATAAAAGTGAAATATTAAAAACCCTGGAACGTGAACTCCATCTGCAGAATAGCCAGTGTCTTGCCTGCTTGCACCATGGGAAAAAAAACATCTCCTTGAAAAAAGAGGGAGGGGAAAAAAGTGCTTTGAGTAAGAGGTTTACAGGTTTAGTAGAGCATAGTAACATCCCCTCAAAGAAGTGGGTGTTGCTCTGTGACCCCCCAAAACTCTCCTCCTTTGACCCAGCCGCCAGATCACTCCCCCTCCCCCATAACACACCCCCTTTTCAAATGCTAACTGAGCTTCGGTGATTGGCTGAACAATAAACTGGTCACACTTGCTAAAAGGCTGCCATCTTTCACACAATTAGCCAAGACACATTAATCAAACTGGCGGGAAGCAGGAGTAGGTGGTGGGGGGAAGGGAGAAATCTTGGTAATCTTTATAAGGGTCCCTGGAAACAATAATAAAGAATAGTGTGCTGGAGGGCACTGTGCCATCAAAAAACTCTGTAAAGAAAAAAACTCCAAATGATGCTGAGTTTGAGATATGCTGGACTGATAGCAGAAAGGAGCCCAGATTCGTAGAGCGAATGGAATAATTGTCCTGGTTAAAATCTGCTAATACAAGACAGTAGTGTGAATAGAACTCCAAAGGCATTTTACAAAGTTGCTTAAGCCCTCTTAACTTCTTGCTTTACCTCCCATGAAATTCCCCTTCTGAATCTCAAGCATTTCAGGATCCATCAGAACATTGAATCTACCAGACTGCATAGCCTATGATTTATTCTCAAAATCAAGGAGAATAAAGCATGTAACAGACCTAGAAGAACCATCTAGAAGTGATTATGAGAAAGTGCTAACTGGCCAGGTGTTGACCCAAACAAAGTATTTGAAGAATGTTAA